AAAAATATGCATCTTGTTGTAATCAGCCACTTCGACTCCGCGAGCCTCCCTTGTAAGTATCTATATCAAATAAGTATAGCAAACTGATACGGTGAACTTACAATCCACAAGCTAAGGTATCCTGCCGCTATCGCTCCAACACGTGCGATCATACTACATAGACCCGCAGCCGTATTTCTGATTACTGTAGGAAATAGCTCAGGTGTGTACGTATACACAGCTATATAGGTACCGGTGATGGCACCTTTGGTGATCATCATTTGTATGATCGACACTGCTAATGGCACTGAAAGAGAAAACAATCAGATGTAAAGAATAGGTTACAAAGCCAAGACTTGCCGTTATCCCCCATGAAATAATTAATAAGTAAACAAGCTCCAGCAAGAAAGTATCCAAGGCTAATGACAAGGCGACGACCAATTCTAAAAATCTCCCAATTTTGGGTAAACAAGTGTGAAAAAATGATTAATGCTTTGTGATTAGGGTTCACCGGTCAAGCACCAAGAAGATTACTATAATTGCTGGAATTTCTACTAATGCAGCAAATATGAAGTTTATATACATATCACCTCCCAGCACATTGGGTTTCAAAGCCATACCATAATAGACCATAGAAACACATGGCCTAAAATTTGAATAAATAGATGGGCTAAATATGAGAGAATTTTTTGTAAAAGCAAAAAAGTAAGGATCGTGACCGAACGTGTTAGACTCCTACTAGTTGAACGTGTTAACTATTAGGAGTCACTGAGCTATTTCACCGAAGATTAAAAAAGAAGTTCAAAATTTGGACCCACCACAAAAAGAATGCGATCAGAGTCCTTCGCCTTAATACCGGCGTTTTCAATAAGTCCCATGCTTTGTATTTCTTCACTTCCTTTTCTTCCCTTCCAGAAGACTCGGAGTCCAACTGTTTCCACCTTATCCACCACAATTAACTTCATTTCCATGTAGACATATATCAGCGTACCATTTCTCAGGTAGCGTAACTCCATTGACTTCGGCAGCATGTCGTAAAACTTTGTCAACTTCCTCATATCTTCTTTGCGTTACCAGCCAACGAGCACTTTCTGGTATAAGCCTGCAACTGACTGCTCGAGAGATGAAAGCAAAACGAAGTTAAAAAAGTCAAGACCCACCACCAGTAGGTCAGAAATATAAGTCCAGGTAAAGTTATGA